AAAAATATGTCCAGCAGTTTGCATGAACTATGGAGAGTGCTGATAACATCCAGGTTTCTCGACTGATATGTAACAATTAGACGCCTTCGTGGGCCTGTGTCAGATATTACTATGCTCAATCTATAGCTACTTACAGTTGCTGATAGGGAGCCGCCACTCCCGCTTGTCGGAATGTCTTTGACATATGCAGAGGACACTTGTTTTCGAACTTCAGCAGCATGTTGTCTTGATAGAAAACCAACAAATAAATTGTATTATATATAGAATATCACTGTATTCTAAGATTTTAGACTGTATTGATGTTAGTTTCACATCATGCACATAACTAGAGTGTATGCAGTATGTGACCGTGAATGTACTGAGCAGTGATCATGGAATCCAGCATAGGAATCCAAGTTCCCAGGCCCCAGCCCTTCTTCAGTAAAGAAGAAATGGGACTTAACTGGAAATGGGAAAGACTAGACTTTAGTCGGACTTCGTGTTAGCAGATATTATAGGGCTCCCCGATTCCCTTGACGTTAGCAAGAGCCACAAGTTACTAAAGCCGGGCTCAGGTCACCCTACGACCTGACTAATTTATCGCCGATTGACGTCGTAATAACCAGGGTGATTCCAGTATACCTCCCAACTTCTTTGCGGGCGAGGGGTATAATTATGATAATCACATTACTTAACTTATGATTATCATGTGACTCGACACGTAGTGCTGATTGGCTGGGACTCACGATTTGACGCCGACCAGCGCGTAGAAATAGAACTGTTTCTATTCCTGCGATTACTAGTGGTGTTCCGATTAATCGATTTCGTCAATCATTACCTGTTTGGGCTGCCGAGTTGATTAAGGATACTCTCAAGGTTTTAGGCAAAATTTTACAGATTTTTCATTTTCGACTTTATTCGATGGCTAAGTAACACTATGTGCCACCTCTGTATATGCTAATTTCTCCATATAACGGTACATGTGAACTTTGAGAGCGTTTTGATTGCCCGCGTACACGTGTAGTGAGCAGCAGCGGACGTCACTGATGACGTCAGAGACATGATAGTTGATACAACCAGAATTTTCATGATTCACTAAGCCAGTATAATTCAGCATCAACCCTCCTATAGCTGTCATCTGCCACTGATAGTTGAAATTGCCGCGCGACCTAAAATAGCCCCGTTTCCCTTGTAACACACCTTGCATTTAGGCACGTGTTTGTTGACACATAGCTTAGTAACGGCATGCAGTACACATCGTACGCGCGTTTTGCATGAAAGTGCGGTGGTAACCTCGTAATTTCTCACAATTTCTCAAGGTGCATGGAACATATTACATGTAAACAAGTCTCTTGACTGCCCTGTATACCATACACATGTTAACAAACATATACCACATTGCAAAACGTCTGGTGTCTACCCTGTTATCGTACACCTGTTACCAAACTATACCACATGCTAACAAAGTCGCTGTCTTACCCTGTCTATACCATACACATGTTACCAAACATTACCACAATTAAAACAGTCTCTGTCTACCCTTGTTATACCATACACATGTTACCAACATTACCACATGTAAACACAGTCTCTAGTCTGCCTGTTACTACCACTAAACATCGTTACCAAACATATACGCAAACATAGCTAAACACAGTCGCTCTGTCTAACCCTGTCATACCATACACATGTTACGCAAACAATGAGCACATGTAAACACAGTCTCTGACTACCCTGTTATACATACACATGCTTACCAAACATATACCACATGCAAACACAGTCGCATGTCTACCTGTTATATCATACTACATGTTACCAAAATATACACAGTAAATCAAAGTCGCTTGTTACCCTGTTATACCTCACATGTTTACCAACATATAACCACGACGTGTGTTACACTAGTCGCTGTCGTACCCTGTTACTTACACACGTTCCAACATATACACATGACACAGTGCTCGTTCTACCTGTCTATCCATAACATGTATCAACATATACCAATCAGCGTTAGGACATAAACTTTTAGTTCATTAGTCCACAGGACTAGTAAAAAAAAAAATCTACTAGTCCTTTCCAAGATTCTACTGTCCTGCAAAGGACTCTTACTAGGCGCAGAGCGCGGCATTGGTGATTTGCCAGGAGGTAGGTTGCGTAGGGAGGGTGGAGGCCCCCTTCTGCTAGGGGGTACAGGGGGTCTCTCCCAGAGTACAAGGGGTGTCCCAGAAAGGTTTTGTTAAAAGACATTCATTGTATAAAATAGCATGTAACTTTGCATATTGTCCTAGATTAAATTAAATTAATTAATTTTAATTCGAAAATAAGAATTTTTTCTGTTCCTTTTTTGTGCGTTTCTTTCTTTCCTCCCACCATTTTGCGATGAGGGAATCTGTGGATCCGTCATTCACGCAAGGAAGTTGGCCTCATTTATAGTGCAAACTGTTCCCGGCCGCTTGTATCGGCGATCCTCATAATGACCTCTGGCAGTCCTTGTCGGTGAGGTAAGTTGTGCGAATCTAACCCCTGGCTTGTCAAGTGGCATGACGTAATAGTGATGTAAGGGCCTGCGTTTTTTCAATGCATTGTGCATTTCTAATGGCTGTGCGCGCTTTTACTGATCGCTGGATAGCGGCGGCGCGTGCACTGTCTGGCTATCCACTGCTAAACATGGCGTTAGTTCGAAGGGAAACCATAATGAATTAAATTCAGAGTTGCAAAAGTAGAGGGGCAAAGACATCTGGGAGGAAGCCTGATCTGCACGTACAGTACGCTGCGTGGTGCGCACGTACACTGGCGTGGTACCGTGCGTGCGCACGGTACACGTGCGTGAGTGGCACGTAAGTGTGTGGTGGTCGTGCGCGTACGTGCGTGCCGTGCGTGGCACGTACCGGTTGCGTGGTTTTGCGTGTGCAGTACACATGCGTGGCTGCATAGGCACGTCATTTGTGGTGTGTGTGTTGCGTGCGTGTGCACGTACCACGTGCGGGCGTGCTGTGCAGTCGCGTTGCACGTACCAGTGCGTGACCCGTGGTGTGTGTGGTTAGTGGTGTGCAGGTACACGTGCTGCGTGCGTAGTGCATGTACACGTACCGTGTACGTCGAGCAAGTACATTGTGCCAAAGTGCGTGGATGCGTTGTGCACGTAAGGTGTGTGCGTGGTGTGTGTGCACTTACAGTGACGTGGTTGGCGTTGCGTGTGCCACGTACAGCGTGCGGTGCGTGCATTAGGGCAGGGTACACCCGGGGGTGTTGTGCGTTGCGCTGGTGCACGTACACGTGGTGCTGTGGTGGCGCACGTACACGTGTGTAGCGTGCGTTGGTGTGACACGTACCTGGTGCGTGATAGGCACGTACGTCACGTTGCGGGCGTGCGTGCGTTCACGGGCGTGTCGTATGCACGTACAGGTGCAGTGCTGGCTGTGTTGTGTGTGTACGTGCGTGTGCAGTACACGTGCCTGGCGGCGTGATCTGTGTGCATGTACATCTGTGTACGTGATACGTCAGCAAGTATGTGTTGGTGCGTGGATGCGTCGGTGCCGTACACGTCGCGCCGCGATGCAGTACACGTGACAACAGGCCTCTGTCGTGGCACGTACACGTGTCGTGCGTGCGTGCGTGTGCACGTACACGTGGCCTGTGCGTGCGTGCGTGTGCACGTACTGTGTGTGCCGGGGATGCGTTGCTGCACGTAACGTGTGGCGCGCCGTGCGTGTGCACGTACACGTTGCGTGCGTGGACGTACACGTCTCTGTGCGTGCGTGGCGTGGCGTTCCGTGCCGTGTGTGCGCGCGTGTGGACGTACATAGTTGTGTCGCGTTGCGAACTGTGCACGTACACTGTGCTGCCGCTGGTGTGCACGTTACACGATGAGTGTGGTGGTTGATTTCTGGCACCCTTTTTGAGATGCACACACGCATTCATCTTCAGTCTGGGTCACTTGGGCCCCCACTGTTTCGTGAACAGGCATTGCGTGCTGTCTTATCATAGACACGTGCGGCCATCTTATTTCTCCTCCTGCGATTTACGTTTGGGAGGTGGAGGGCGAGCGCCGTCCAAAATACTTCCACATAACTACCTGATGTTAGTATAAATTATTTATACTATTGGATAAGATGTACCTACTATTAGCTTCACTACTATTTTGTATGGACTTTCAAGTAACACACGCGATGCGATGTGGTTTGCGATTGTAAATACCTCCCTATGAGAGCCTATAACTGATTAGTTGTGTCATTTCTTACAATCAGACCGTTTGTTCTATGTTCAACAGCTTACTGTCAAGCGATCGATTGGTAGACTGGGTTCGTGGCCATTGTTTAACAATGTTTGTACTGCCGTAGGGTCTAGCATGCTTAGGGCATGCAGAGCGTGCTAGCGTCTACTTGTACTAGAGTGTCTAACAAGGAAAACTTGTTAATGGGAATGAGTTATATATAGCTCTTTTGATCTTGTGTTGAGAGACGCTGCCGCTGGTAAAATCGTGGGAAATTGGACGGTAGGGACGGGGAAATTAAACTAGTCCCCGCCGGACTAAATGCTATGCGGTTACTAGTCCTTCTGTTTTTACTAGTCTCGGACTAACGGCTGCGTTAGTGTCAAACTGAATGTAGTTATCTACCACACTGTCTCACAGTTACTAGCTGCATTATTCCCTAGCTTAATAATTCTATAATGTAGTTATCTACCAGACACTAGACTACCACACCGTTTCCCAGTTACTAACTGAATTATTCCCTAGCTTAATAATTCTATAATATAGTTATCAGGAGTAATAATAATAGATTATTATTCTATATTTTTATAATTTAGATATCCTCCTCTTTATTATAGATAATAATCTATTATTATTCAGTCATGTAGTTATCTACCACGCTACCTCTCAGTTACTAGCTGAATTATTCCGTAACTTAATAATTCTATACTGTAGCTACACAGCGACATATGTCTCACAGATTCACTAGCACAATGATTCCCCGCCTCCCCCCACCGCCGCATCACGTCGCGCGCGGTCGACGCACCTCCTCCTGCAGCGGATACAGGCTGAACAGCGCCTCCTGGCGGTCCTGCTGCCGCCGCGACTCGTTGAAGCGGTCGACGTACTCGACGGGCACCTTGTCGAGGAGTCCCGGCAGCAGCGGGTCGGCGCGCGAGTTGCGCAGGTCAAAAACGCTGCTCGCCCAGCTGCCGCGCGGCGTCTCGCAGCCCGCCGACGCCGTCGAGTTACGCGGCGTCACGTCGCCCGACGATGAGCGAGACGAGCGTGGCGACACCTCGACGACGGACGCGCGCGGCGTCTCCACGACCGAGCTGCGCTGCGAGTCCTGCAGGGGGCACCACAAGTGCGATACATTAGCGCGTTGTTACGTCGATAAGTTACGAACGGTTATTTTGATCCTTGGGTCGAAAGGTTTAGAACTTTTGAAATCGGAAATACCGAATTAATATTTAATGATTATTATGATTATATGACTCAGGGTTACTGAAACGGAGATAGGCACCGCCCTATGCGCCACATAGGCGCGGGAAGGATTTAACTAACGATTATATGACTAGTCTTTTTTCATTAGCATTTTTATTGGTTATAATTAACTTGAATTAAAACTTGTAAAAAACTACAAATATTATTAATTATTTTTACATGATTTCATTTTTGTTTTCGTTTAGCACTTTCATTCATGTTTTATCAACGTGAAGAAAACAAAGTCCAGTCCTTCTTTTTGGCATAGACCAGCTCTTGGCATTTTGAATTGTATACTTTAGTCATTACTAATGACAAATTACATTTTTAATTATTTAATAATAAAATTCAATTATTATAGATATAAATTTAAATAACACAAGAGCAAGATAGATTGACATTATCGCATTGGTGGCGGCATTCCATCGCGATGCTGGGGACGGAAACGTTGGCTAGCGAGCGCGTCGCTATAGCGACCCTCACCATGCCATCGTTCTGAGCTTCATCCTCCAAGTCGATCTCAAACGTCTGCTTCGGCGTTGCCCTGACGACATTAATCCTCTCGGCTACCTTGTCACGAATGTTGTAGCTGGAGCTGTAGCACTGGTATCGGCGGCACACTCCCACCCAGTCAGCCGTGTAGCAGTGCACGCAGTCGCGCACGTGTGGCTCGCTGTCTGCCCTGTTATATCATACACATGTTACCACACATAAACCACCTGTAAACACAGTCGCTGTCTGCCCTGTCATACCATACACATGTTACCAAACATATACCACATGTAAACACAGTCTCTGTCTGCCCTGTTATACCATACACATGTTACCACACATATACCACATGTAAACACAGTCTCTGTCTGCCCTGTTATACCATACACATGTTACCAAACATATACCACATGTAAACACAGTCGCTGTCTACCCTGTCATACCATACACACGTTACCACACATATACCTACATGTAAACACAGTCTCTGTCTGCCCTGTCATACCATACACCATGTTACCAAACATATACCACAATGTAAACACAGTCTGCTGTCTACCCTGTTATACATACACATGTTCCAAAACATTATACCACATGTAAACCAGTCTCTGTCTGCCCTGTTATCGCATATCACATGTTACCAAACATATACCACATGTAAACACAGTCGCTGTCTACCCTGTCATACCATACACACGTTACCAAACATATACCACATGTAAACACAGTCTCTGACTGCCCTGTTATACCATACACATGTTACCAAACATATACCACATGCAAACACAGTCGCTGTCTACCCTGTTATACCATACACATGTTACCAAACATATACCACATGTAAACAAAGTCGCTGTCTACCCTGTTATACCATACACATGTTACCAAACATATACCACATGTAAACACAGTCTCTGTCTACCCTGTTTATACCATACCACATGTTACCAAACATGATACCACATGTAAACACAGTCTCTGTCTGCCCTGTTATACCATACACATGTTACCAAACATATACGCACATGTAAACACAGTCGCTGTCTACCTGTTCATACCATACACACGTTACCAAACATATACCACATGTAAACACAGTCTCTGACTGCCTGTTATACATACACATGTTACCAAAACATATACCACATGCAAAACACAGTCGCTGTCTACCCTGTTATACCATACACATGTTACAAACATATACCACATGTAAGACAAAGTCGCTGTCTACCCTGTTATACATACACATGTTACCAAACATATACCACACGTATGTAACACAGTCGCTGTCTACCTGTTATACTATACACACGTTACCAAACATATACCACATGTAAACACAGTCTCTGTCTACCTGTCATACCATACACATGTTATCAAAACATATACCACATCAGGGTTAGACACTAACTATTTTAGTTCATTAGTCCACAGGACTAGTAAAAGAAAAAATCTACTAGTCCTTCCAAGATTCTACTAGTCCTGCCAAAGGACTCTTACTAGGCGGCGAGCGAGCGAGCATTGTGATTTGGCCAGGAGGTCAGTGGGGTAGGAGGGTGGAGCCCCCCTTCTGCTAGGGGTACAGGGGTGTCTCCCAGAGTACAAGGGGTGTCCCCAGAGAAGGTTTTGTAAAAGACATTCAATTGTATAAAATACATGTAACTTTGATATGGATCCTAAGATTAAAATTTAATAAATTAAATTTTAATTCGAAAATAAAATTTCGGCTTCCTTTGATGAGGAATCTGTGGATCCGTCACTTATCACAGCAAGGCATTTGGCTCATTTATAGCTGCAAACTGTTCCGGGGCGCCTTGTATCGGCTATCGTCATAATGAACCTCTGGCTAGGCGTTGTGCGTGAGGTAAGTGCTGCCGACATCTATAACCCCTTGGCCTTGTCAGCTGGCCATGACGTAATCGGTGTAGGGCCTGCCGTTTTTTCAATAGGCATGTGCATTTCTATATGGGTGCGCCATTTACTGATCGCCTGGATAGACGGCGCGCGTGCACCTGTCTGGTATCACTGCTAAACAATGGCGTCTAGTTACGAAGGGAAAACCAATAATGAATTGAAATCAGAGTTGCCAAAGTAGAGGTGGGCAAAGACATCTGGGAGGAAAGCTGATCTGCACGTACACGTACGCTTGCGTGCGTGCGCACGTACACGTGGGTGCGTACGTGCGTGCGCACGTACACGTGCGTGAGTGGGCACGTACACGTGTGTGCGTGCGTGTGCACGTACACGTGCGTGCGTGCGTGGGCACGTACACGTGTGTGCGTGCGTGTGCACGCACATGCGTGCGTGGCACTAGGCACGTCATGTCGTGTGTGTGTGCGTGCGTGTGCACGTACACGTGCGGGCGTGCGTGCGTGCCCGTATGCACGTACATGTGCGTGCGTGCGTGTGTGTGTGTACGTGTGGTGTGCAGGTACAGCGTGCTGCGTGCGTGTGCAGTGTACACGTACGTGCGTACGTCAGCACGTACATGTGTGTGCGTGGATGCGTGTGCACGTACAGGTGTGTGCGTGCGTGTGTGTGCACTTACACGTGCGTGTGTGCGTGCGTGTGCACGTACACGTGCGTGCGTGCATAGGCAGGTACACGTGTGTGCGTGCGTGTGCACGTACACGTGCGTGCGTGCGTGGGCACGTACACGTGTGTGCGTGCGTGCGTGTGCACGTACACATGCGTGCGTGCATAGGCACGTACGTACACGTGCGGGCGTGCGTGCGTACACGTGCGTGCGTATGCACGTACATGTGCGTGCGTGCGTGTGTGTGTGTACGTGCGTGTGCAGGTACACGTGCCTGCGTGCGTGTGCATGTACACGTACGTGCATACGTCAGCACGTACATGTGTGTGGCGTGGATGCGTGTGCACGTACACGTGCGCGCATGCACGTACACGTGCGTGCGTGGGCACGTACACGTGTGTGCGTGCGTGCGTGTGGCACGGTACACGTGTGTGCGTGCGTGCGTGTGCACGTACATGTGTGTGCGTGGATGCGTGTGCACGTACACGTGCGCGCGTGCGTGTGCACGTACACGTGCGTGCGTGGGCACGTACACGTGTGTGCGTGCGTGGGTGCGTCCGTGCGTGTGTGCGCGCGTGTGCACGTACACATGTGTGCGTGCGTGTGCACGTACACATGTGTGCGTGGTGTGGCACGTACACGTGCGTGAGTGTGCGTGCGTGTGCACTTTCATCACCTCTTTTGATCGCGCACCACACATTTCAATCTCAGTTCTGGTCACACTTGGGCCCCCACTGTTTCGTGAACAGGCATGGTGCTGTCTTATCAATAGACACGCTGGCGCATCTAATTTCTCCTCCTGCGATTTACGGTTTGGAGGTGGAGGCGGGCGCCGTCCAAATACTTCCACATAACTACCTTGATGTTAGTATAGAATTATTATACTATTGGATAAGGATGTACCTACTATTAGCTTCACTATATTGTGTCATGGAGTGCTTCAAGTAACCACACGCATGGCGATGTGTTTGCGGATGTAAATACCTCCCTATGAGAGCGCCTATAACTGATTAGTTGTGTCATTTCTATCAATCAGACCGGTTTGTTCTATGTCAAACAGCTACTGTCAAGGCGATCGATTGGTAGACTGGGTTCGTGGCCCCATTGTATTAACAATGTTTGTCCTGGCGTAGGGTCTAGCATGCTTAGGGCATGCAGAGCGTGCTAGCGTTTCTACTTGTACTAGAGTGTCTAACAAGGAAAACTTGTTAATGGGAATGAGTTATATATAGCTCTTTTGATCTTGGTTGAGAGAGACGCTGCCGCGCTGGTAAAATCGATGGGAAATTGGACGGTGAGGGCGGGGAAAATATAACTAGTCCGCGCGGACCTAACTGCTATGGGAATCTACTAGTCCTTCTGATTTTTTTACTAGTGCTCGGGACTAACGGACTAGCGTTAGTGTCGAACCCTGCACATGTAAACACAGTCTCTGTCTGCCGCTGTCATACCATACACATGTTACAAACATATACCACATGTAAACACAGTCTCTGTCTACCCTGTCATACCATACACATGTTACCAAACATATACCCATGTAAACACAGTCTCTGTCTACCCTGTCATATCAACACACGTTACCATCACCCTTACCCACAATCACCTGTCTGCCTGTTTACCATAAGCAATTAACAAATATGCACCAGATTTACAACACCAGCACCATGAAAATATGGTGGGCTGAACCCATGAAGGCTTAGATGTCTGCCTTGTTATTATTAACAACTAGACAGAGGGCACTCACGGAGAGTGCAGACACCTCCGCGCAACAATAGCTCGTAGCAGCCGCTCGTTGCTGCTGCTCGCGCTGCACATGTACACGCTTGACTCGACGGAGCAAATTCGATCGCGCCAACACACCAACACACTAACACTGACTGGCCTGCTGCTGCTACACGAACACACTAACACACAAACGCACGAGACCGATCACAATAACCTCCCAACTCCTTTGGGCGGAAGGTAATACTCCATATTTATACCACTCATACAAAAATCAGCAACAGCATTATTGCATAGGTAGCTGTGCTTTTCGGATCGGCGATGTTGGGACAGGACTGGCTAGCATAAGCTGCGACTCGGAGGCACACAGGCGTACGCTTCCTAGTTTTCAAACCCAGCTGCGCATGCCGATAACGCCTCGTGTGTACCGATCCGATCCTCACCGCTTCCTCCGGATGACGGATGCACAGTTCGGATCTTCCCGCGGACAATCACGCCGACTTCGATGTCGTCAGGTGGAAACTCCAGCAGGTGCGCATGCGGTCCTTCTCAATGACGTTTCTGATGTTGAATGGCGAAGTTCTCGTAGTGCAACAGGTTCAAGGCCATCCGACAGAGAGGATCTGCAGCAGTGGCGCCACCATGTGAATCGCGTCATAGAGGCGTCATTTAGAATATTTTTAAAGACAAATTAAACCCTTTTAAGGGTTTATGGATTTCCTGATATTGATTATGCATACATAATAATAGCTGTAAAGACCCCACATAAAGTTACTGAAAATTGTAGCGTAGCAGTTTGACTCAGTGTAAGCAATAATATTCCAAATTTAAATATTCAGTACGGACTGTATTTATCATAACAGTACTTTACCGACTTTATGTGATCACCTAATAAATAAAAAATATGTCCAGCAGTTTGCATGAACTATGGAGAGTGCTGATAACATCCAGGTTTCTCGACTGATATGTAACAATTAGAGCGGCCTTCGTGGGCCTGTGTCAGATATTGATGCTCAATCTATAGCTACTTTACAGTTGCTGATAGGAGCCGCGCACTCCCGGGGCTTGTCGGAAATGTTCTTGACATATGCAGAGGACACTTGTTTTTCGAAGCTTCAGCAGCATGTTAGTCTATAGAAAACCAAACAAATAAATGTATTTATATATAGAATATCACTGTATTCTAAGATTTTAGGACTGTATTGGATGTTAAGTTTCACATCATGCACAATAACTAGAGTGTATGCAGTCATGTGACCGTGAATGTACTGAGCAGTGATCATGGAATCCAGCATAGGAATCCAAGTGCCAGCCGGCCAGCCCTTCTCAGTAAAGAAGAAATGAACTTAACTGAAATGGAAAGACTAGACTTTAGTCGGACTTCGTGTTAGCAGATATTATAGGGCTCCCCGATTCCCTTGACGTTAGCAAGAGCCACAAGTTACTAAAGCCGGCTCAGGTCACCCTACGACCTGACTAATTATCGCCGATTGACGTCGTAATAACCAGGCGGTGAATTCCAGTAATACCTCCTCCAACTTCTTTGCGCGCGGGCGAGGGGTAATAATTATGATAATCACATTAACTTAACTTATGAATTATCATGTGTACTCGACACGTAGTGCATGATGGCTGGCACTCAACGATTGACGCCGACCAGCGGGCGTAGAAATAGAACTGTTCTCTATTTCCTGCAGATTACTAGTGGTGTCTTCCGATTAATCGATTTCGTCATCATGTACCTGTTTGGGCTGCCGAGTTGCATTAAGGATATCACTCTCAAGGTTTTAGGCAAACATTTTACATGATTTTCATTTTCGGACTTTATTCGATGGGCTAAGTAACACTATGTGCCACCTGCTGTATATGCTAATTTGCTCCATGATACACGTACATGTGAACTTTGAGAGCGTTTTGATTGCCCGCGTACACGTGTAGTGAGCAGCAGCGGACGTCACTGATGACGTCAGACGACATGATATTGATACTAACCAGATTTTCAATGATTCACTAAGCCAAGTATAATTGCAGACATCAACCCTCCTATAGCTGTCATCCTGCCACTGATAGTTGAAATTGCCCGCGGCGACCTAAAATAGCCCCGTT